TTTTTTTTGCCTAGTGACAATTCCGTTGACCAGACTGCCTTAGTGCATGGGTGGAGGTTCTTTTGTTGTCTGTCATGGGCTACTAGCACAAAGAGAAGAAATCTGGCCTGAGTCCTATGTGGGTAATTAATATGTCACCTAATTTCGTTTCAGGTATCTTTCTTTAAAGAGAGAAATGGAAATATTCACCTTGCCTCCTTTTGAGATTATAAGCAGAGGGATAGGAGGCCTTATTTAAGGAAAGATAATAAAAGCGAAAGACCCTCCTTTCCTAGAAGGAGTTTAGGAGGAGGGACAAAGAAGAGGGGAAATGAGAGAGGCCCACTAAACTCGGTAGGAGGTAAACTGCTCCTGTCACACTCTGTTGCTCTCCGCCTGTGGTGTCAGAGGACACTATCACCTGTTGTCACTCTCTTTTGAAAAGCTCATTAGCTCTCCAACAGTTTTGAAAGGCTTTCTTCTAGCCTGCAGAATAGTGTGTCTGGATTTATTTTCAAAAAATCCAACTTTCTCTTGGGAGACCAAGGGCTAGTTTCCCTCCCACCGTGTACGGAAGGTTCCGAGGGAAGGAATGGCTGGTCCTGTAGTGCCAGTTTGTGGATGGTCTCACCCCTGGAGGCCCCAAGAGTTCTTTGAGAACCTGCATTCACTTCATTATTCTCAGGTGCTTTTCTAATCAAATGCACCATGGATTCTAACATGAATAATGTACACTGAGAACCAAAAAGAACTCCGTGAACTCGCCTGTCAAGGATAAGTTTTAGAGGAATAGACATAAAAAGCCTACTGGAGAGACAAGTCTAGAAGGAAATATGTCCAAATATTCACAGTGATCATCTGGCCAGTAGGACTATGAATAGGGTTTCTTTTCCCCCTTCTACCTTTCTGTATTTTCTAAATTCTCCACAGTGAGCATATGTTTCTTTTACAATGAGAGAGAAAACCAACAGGCCTTATTATAAAGGATGATGGAAGAAATAGATTTTTTTTAATATTTTTATTTATTTATTTGGCCAAGAGAGAGAGAGATCACAAGTAGGCAGAGAGAGGGGGGGACGTAGGCTCCCTGCCAATCAGAGAGCCCGATGCAGGGCTCGATCCCAGGACCCTGAGATCATGACCTGAGCCAAAGGCGGAGGCTTAACCCACTGAGCCACCCAGGTGCCCCAAGAAGAAATAGATTTTAATCATTGTTTGCAGCTCTTGGAAATTTCTTGACTCCCTCCTCGCCCATGCTTTTAGTTCACGCCAAGCCACATCTCTGGCCCTCTTGACTGTCTCTGTCCATTGCTCCAAGGGACACCCCTCCTCCTAGTAGACAAGCCTCTCTTCCTCTCAGCCCTTGTCTACCCTTTTTTGGGGTTATATCTCAATAAAGCTGGTCTAACGTACCTTTCATCCATTTGAAGTATATAATTCAAGTGTTCTTAATATAGTCATGGAATTGGGCAACCATCGCCAACATCAATTTTAGAACATTTTCATCACCTCAAAAGATGTCCCATGCCCTTTAGCTATCATTCCGCAGCCCTCCTCTCCGCCCCCCAAGCCCTAAGCAACCACTAATCTGCTTTCTGTCCCTATAGATTTTCCTATTCTGGACATTTCACATAAACGGAATCATACAATCTGTGTTCTTCCATGATGGGCTTCTTTCACTTAGCATAATGTTTTCAAGGTTCACCCATGATGCAACGTGTGTGAATACTCTATTCCTATGTAAGGCCAAATAATACTCCATTATATGGACTGTATATTTGTTTATCCCTTCATCAGTTGATGGACACCTGTCTGGTCCCACCTTTTGGCTGTTGTTAATAGCACTGCCAAGAGCATGCATATACATGTACTTCTTTGAGTACTCATTTGTGATTCTTTGGGGTATGTGCCTAGGAGCGGAATTGCTGCACCACATGGTAACATCTATACTTGACTTTGTAAGGAGCCACCAAACTGTTTTCCACAGCAGCTGCACCATTTTGTGTTCCCACCAACAATGTGAAGGCTCCACTTTCTCCATATCTTCAGCAACACTTGTCTATTTTATTTTACGGACTTTTTTTTTTTTATTACAGCCATCCTCATGGGTGTGAAGTGGCATCTCACTGTGGTTTTGATCTGCATTTCCCTGATGACTAATTGACATTTAACTGGACTTCATCTTGGATCCCCACATCTGGTTCTTACACATGAATCCCTTTGAAGGCCACCACTGTCCCACCAGGCAAAGACCATTCAGACTGCTTACCAGATTAGCCCAGGGGGTTACCCAACCCACTAGCTAGCTAGTCTTTGAAAAAAAAATGCCAGGGTAAATATGTAGGGAAAGAACATGGTTATGCTTATTAATACCCACCTCAAACAACGCAGGATTTATGCATCTTGCACGTAGAAAATAGTTACCTAGAATTTGAAAAAAATCAATTTTCTTGCATACTATCTGAAATATACTGTTTTTTTCATTAAATGTTCATATTCTACTGGCTTATAATAATGGTAATATTGACCATGATTAATGTTATGGGGAGATTACTTTGTGCCAGGGACTATGCTCAACACTTTACAGGCATTGTCTCAATCATCACAGCAACCTATCATTAGCTTCATTTTAAAGTCAGGGAAACTTAAGGCTTCACCACCAAGTAAGTGAGGAAGTAGCTGGCATTTGACACTTATGTGGGTCAGACTCCAAAATCAGTGCTCTTACCTACTACTCCTAACAGGTTTTCAGGGGCTGTTCTGAGACTCCAACCATCATTATAGCATGCTTGGTAAATGAAACTGTGTTCTGAATTCAAAACAATTCATCCAGCAGCAAGTTTTTCAAACACAATCTCTTCCTAGGTCCATCCTGTGTGTCCTCTGGCAGTAATGAGTACTCTGTGACATGGGATGGCCTTTTGTGTCTCCAAGTTACCTTGCTCAAATTTCAAAGAGATTCCCCTGAGTTCTAGAATTTGATGACCCAGATTGTGTTCACATTATTCACATTCTTTGCGGTTTTCTTAGACATTTAACTTGACCCCGCCAAGTAATATCCTTCCATGCTAAAGTGGGAGGGCTTGTGTTTACGGCAGCCCCTCATCCCCCAGATGTTTAGACGGACCCTCTCTGAATCTTCTCCGGCTTGCCAGTGATCTTTATGATCAGCTCAGAAAGCTGCAAGGGTTCAGGGGCTGGGAGAAGTTCAGAGTGTTTTTTTGTTTTTTGTTTTTGGTTTTGGTTTTGGTTTCTTTTAACTTCTAGGGAAGTCAAATTGGAAAGCTTTGCCATGAGTTCGATTTTTCTTGCCATGTGCTTATCTTAGAGAGAGTTCAGAGGTAGGAGGAGGCCTAAGGGAAGCTCTTTCATTAAAGAGCAGGCCATCACCTCCCATAGACTAATGGCCATATTCCATTTCTTCATGGAGTGGGGGGAATTACTCAGCCTCAGCCTTTACTCTTTTGGTTTCCACTCTGGGGAACTGTATTATTACCTTGTAAAACAGAACATCTCTCCTATTAGCGTTAATTGAACCCATCTTTTTCCTGTTAGAAACTATAATGTTGACTTTTATTTTCAGAGCCCTGGATGGAACCTCTTCACTTTTGAGGTTGACAGAGCTCAGCCACCAGCAGTAGGCTGTGAGGGGGTTTGAGCATAGCAGGAAGCAACTGCTGGGGTATTGGGGGTTATATATAGCCCAATAAGCTGTCGTGAGTTGTTCTGTCCGTCACCCTGGCTTTGCTGTGACCTGAGTCTTTGTGAAAATGTGCTGAGTATTATAAGTGCTCTCCCTCTTCTAAATCATCAGTTGAAATGAATTGTTTGAGGGTAATAAAGTGGAAAAATGCAAGAAAATAATTTCCACCAGGCTTTCTTTTTTGGCCAGATCTGAAAACAACCCCCAGAGGCCTGTATATCAGGCTAGTCCATTCTTAGCCTGGAGACAGTATTGAATAATTACTCCACTGCCAGCAAATTCCCTGGCCGAAGTCTCCAAAAACTTAGTAGAGACTTAAGAAAGACCTGGTTATGAAGAACACTTTAACTTGTTTCTACCAAGAACATTGCTTGAGAAAAATAAAGAGTATTTTATTTGTTTGTTTACCATTGGACATCTGTTGTATAGATAATTTAATATTTCTTTATAAGCATATCCAGTCCTCTCCAGTCTATAGGGTCTTATTTTGTGTGTCCATGTGCAGCTAAAAAAAAGATAATAGGTTAGAAATTTCCCTGGGTATTTATGTGTGTGTGTTTATACCTATTTGCATATATAATGTACTTGCTCTCTTCTTCTCTCTCTCTCTCTCTCTCTCTTGCTCTGGCTCTCTCCGCACCCCACATATTTGTCTTATAGGTAGCATAAAAGCCAAAGCAAATAAATAGTAAAATATACCAGGATCCACTCCCTCTTGTCTCCCACCCACCCCCTCCATAGTTATCACAATATATAGACAAAGAACAAAGAAACCTTCCTCCTCTGGCAGATATGAGTTTCTCTGACTCTATTGTCAGGAGAATTTCATAGAGTGTATACTGCTCTGAGCACCCTGTAATTCTGATCTGCAACTATTAGCCCGGGCCTATATGGAAAGGGGCCATCTCTAGGGTAATAGCATTGTAAATTACAATCAATGCACTCAATTACACCCAGAAACCAAAAGATACGTAGTGCTCCAGCATGCCTTGTAATCAGCACCTTTGAGAATGGAGGTAACCGCATTCTGAACAAAAAATGGAAGCCGAACACGTAAGAAAATGAATGTTGGAATTAAATCATCCTTCTGATAGGAGCAGTACCTTATATGGCAAGCAACTTTTTTTTTTCCTAATATCATTTTATTGATTTAAAAAGAAAACCTAAATTGTGGCCTTGTAACCAAGAATGTCTTAAAATCATTTATGGCTCTAATCAGCCTGGCAGAGCCTTTCTGTCATGCTGATAAGGAAATTAAACTTTCCTCATACTGGGTTTACTTGCCTCTTATGCGCAGATGCTTTCTCTTTTCTTTCAGGGAACTAATTCAGAAGTTGAAGTCTTTCATCAGCTTCTATAATGCTTTGCCTGGCTACGTCTGCAGCCACAGCCCCGTGGCTGAAAACGACACTCTTTGCTGGAATGGACAAGAACTCGTGGAGAGGTAATATTTTTTTGAATGTTAAATATAACAGTGTTTGTGAAATATTCATCGTATGTCCATCTCAAGATTGGTTATGTCTTCTCTCTACCTTCATTAACTTCACAAGAAACATTCTAGAAAAAGCATACACGTGAGCATTTGTGACACACCCTTAGAGAATTTACAGACTTTGAAACACGTAAAGTACTGTGTATTCAGGGACATTTTACCAGGAGTACAGCATCAAACAGCAGCCCCCGCCTTTTTTTTTTTTTTTTTTTTTTTGTCTTTGGCTTCTTCCATTTCCCCTTTATGTGGACCCTTATTTATTTATTGGTTTGAAGAAATCATATACACACTAATCGTTATCGTTTAGTGAGAGTTAACTATGTATGAAGCACCGTACCGAGTGCTTGTCTATATTAACTCTCTTTATTCTTACATCAATCCTCGGAAGTAAATGCCACTATTTTTCCCCATTTTATAGATGAAGATGGAGGAGAGAAGGATGGGGAGGGGAGAAGGAGTACCATTTCACTGAGTGATGTTGCTGAAATGGTTGATCATTGAGTGTTAGTATAATCTGTGCCAACATTTGTCATCTGTGAAGAATTTGCTCACCACTGGGAAGGAAATAATATATATTCATTTATTCAGTAAATATTTACTGAGCACCTTCTAAGCACCAGTCATGTTGAAGTACACAAAATAAGAAATTTTCCTGTCCTCCCAGAGCTCTCATTCTAGTGGACTAATGCCACTCCTGACCTCCATTGCTTCCCATGTGTAAGGAATAGTTTGGGATTAAGGGATGAAATCAGGAGGGTAGAATGCTTAGAAAACCACGGGTCACTGATGAACAGGCTTCTGAAACTATTTGTCCAAGTGGTAGCATCTTGTCGAGGAGAATATAGAAGATGCTTGAACTCGAGTTCTGAATCTTTTACTAATGAGTCGCTTAACCTGGGGCAAGTGACTTAATCTCTCTGGGCCATGGTTTCCCCATCTAAAAAGTGAGATGGTTGGATTAGAACCTTCTAGCTCTGGCAGGCTGTGGGGGTTTTTCACTTACCAGTTCATTCATTCATACATCCATTCATTCATACATTCATTCATACATTTATGTTTTGAGATACTGTGGGTTAGGCACCAAGGGATACGAGTTATCCTAACCCTGGTTAGGTACCAAGGATATGAGGCTGAAGACAGGAAGTTACCTGCTTGGAGGAGTTTACAATCTAGTGGGAACCAGCATCAGGGCATGGGATAATTAGTCATGATGCTAAATGGAATGAATTAGCAATTAATATAATGGGCTAGAGGAAAGCTTTGGAGCCAGATGAACCTGGGTTTGCTTCTCAGTCTTGCTACTTACGGTGTGGGGCATTGTTGAGTGGGTCACTCAACCTAGAAAGTCCCAAGGCCCTCTTCCATAAGGAAAGGCATCTCACAGGGTTGTTGTCACCGTTAGGTGAGGTCATAAGCGTCAAGTCCGTAGCAGACTGGCCTATACCAGAAGCTCAGTTCACGTTCCTCCTCTTCCTTCTCCCTTTCTCCCTTCCCCCTCAATCCCTCCTCTTCCCTGCACAAGGCAAAACACATGCCTGAAAACAGCTTGTTTCTCAACTAAACTGTTTTACTGAGCTGGGACAGTGAGAATGAGGTGCTAATGGGATGAGACATTGAACTTGCATGGAGATAGACTTCCCTCCAGCAAATGTGAATCAGGCTACGGAGATTAATGGCCCCCATGCATCTACTCTACTCTGGAGAAATAGTATATATTTATTATCCTCAAAACTCATCAGGATCTAAGTAGAATCATGAAAATGTACTTAACTATTATGACATATTTTTTTTAAATTGTCAGAAAAAAGCAGTCAGTGTTTGGCTTTATCAAAAGCAGATGCTGTAAAACAGGTATAAACAATATAATCCTTGAAAAAGAAAATGCCCACTGGTCAAATATGTAGTTCTTACATAAGCTTCAAGAGAAACCATTGCAGTAACTTACCCACTGGGATGTTAATATTGTAAAAAATGAACAATTCCTGAAAACTAATTTGTTTTAAGCAGCATATCTCCTAACCATGGTCTGTTCTTAAAGAGGAAATGTTAGTTAGTGATATATTTATTTGCTAATGTATTCATTCATTTCTTTATTCACTTAATAAGTATTTGAGCACCTACTACATTTCAAGTGTAAATATGGGTTTCTTTATTGTTGTGATTATTTAAGGCAAATGTTGGAATCCTGTTGGATATAATCAGATGATCCAATTTTAATTTATTCAAAGAAATTTCTTCCCAGGCCTGTTTTTCGAATTAGCGGGATTTTAAAAATCAAATTTGGCGAATATAAACTACTTCATGCCTGGTATGCTTTCTTGAAGGATGTTGCTCGAGAACCAAGAAAGTCCTCCCCTATCAAATGGTGGAATCCCAAGCCTGCTAAATTTGAATGAGTCTAAAAATTAGCCAAATGCACTTTTGCACCATTAAAATAATTTTGTTAACTGAAGTTTTTTGGTTTAATTTGCTGTTTTTAAATATTTCAGGGTATCAAACAAAATAATAAAACAAATGGTATAGTATAGAGAAAAAAGGTTATTTCAAATCCATTATTTATATTTCTGAACAATCTATTGTTTTAAAACAATTTTTATTGTTGACATGTGTTATCCAGGGAGGGAGTGAGATGGAAGGGAGGGACAGAGAGAGGGATGGAAGAGAGGAAGGAAATCAAACATATCTGTAGACAGTTTAAGGGTACTATAAGCCAGGAAGTGACTCTTCCTTGGGTAGTAACCTCAGGTTATAATTAACCTACACTTAAATTACTGACGTAATGCGATGATGAGACTAGGGAATAGTGTCAAACTAGATTTTTTTTAAAATTACTCAGGAATATACATTTAATCATAGGATGTTCTGTAGCCCATGGACGTTAATAAAGATTAGCTTCACACTGCACGTCTCATCTATAGTGAAACCTCTTTCCAGAGCTTTCCATTGAATTTCTCATTTCGTTCAGTCTTAAATAACAGTTGCCACTTCACACTGTCCAATCAGTTGTAACCTTGTTATCTTTACAGATTGGGTTTGTAGTCTTTTCAAAGTATTTTACTTTTAGTCAAGAAAACTTATGAAAATCAAGGATCCTGAGAGGAAACGAAACTTATCAGTGGAGACACCCGATTAAAAGGAAAATATCGATGCTAAGGAAAATATGGATCAATATCCATGACAGCTGGGGCGTCAGAACCATTTGTACCCTCCTTCTATGAATGTCCATACAGACACTCAACTTTCCAGGAACTCGACAAGTCACTATTTCTCTAAATAGGGCTATGTTTCACATCCATTCAATTGTTAGCTCTTATGAAACCAATCAATTGAAATACGAAAGAAGAGAATGTTTTCACAGATCTAGTCCGAGGGAGTACCATGGAAGCCTGTCATTTATCCTCCCCGCCACAACCCTCCCCATCTCCCCATCTTGGTTTGAGATAAAGATTGGCTCCAGGATTTAGCTGAGAAATCTTGGAATTAGCAAACTTGGCTTGTGCGATGTACACTCTTCTGAGCTACCATGGATCCTACAGGCAAAGATTTCCTGCAGTTGCCAAAGGCGGAAGATTCTCCATTTTTTGCCTTTGTGGAACTACAGAGAATTTCAGAGCATTTCTGAAAGCGAGAGAAACATAAAGGATCCCATGGGAGGAAGTTAACACTGGGCTTAACAACAGGTAACCGTGGGCTTTGCCTGCATTGGCATTGAAAATACCTATAGGAAGAGTGAGCAGCTTTTAGTAAATACATCCCCATATGCCCTCCTCATACCCCCTTTCGGGACTGTTAGGCCCAACTTCTAGATCACGGACTAAAACTTTTATTCTTCTTCTGGATGGTTTGATACCATCTGGAAGGTAAGCCCCATTTTACCATTGAATCAAGTTCATCTTTAAGTTAGTGTAACAGAAACTACTTTAATTTATACCTGTACAGAAACTGCTAGTCAGAGAGAAAAGAGTGCTATCTCGTCTGGACATGGAGCATCTAATAATTCAAGTTCATCCAACCAAGATGGAGCATGTCTTATATATGTGGGGGCGTAGTAAGAAGTAGAATCCAGTGCCTGCTTCTGCTGAGGAGCTTACAACTTAATGAGAAGAAAGGAAAAATAATCAGCCGGTCTCTTTCCCCAGGAGTCCAGGGAGAGTTCCCTTCAGAGGCATCAAAGCAGAGGCTCTACCCATCTGTGTGTGTGTTATTGATGTGAAATTCACATAAGAGGAACCGTTCTGAGGTATACAATTTGGTGGTGACATTCTGTACATTTGCAATGTTGTATAATCACCACCTCGGTCTGGTTTTAAGACTTTTCCATCGCTCCAGAAAGAGAGCTTGTACTCATTAGCAGTCACTCCCCACTCCCTGCCTCCCTTAGCCCCTGGCACCCAACAGTCCGCTTTCCGTCTCTATGGATTTACCTATGCTGGATGTCCCGTACAAATAGAATCATTGACTTAGCATAATGTTTTTAAGGTTCATCCGAGTTGTAGCATGGATCAGTACTCTGTTCCTTTTTGTGGCCAAATAATATTTCATTTCATTGTCCAGATGTAGCACATGTTGTGTATCTACTTGTCAATTTTATCCCCGCATTTATGTGACCCCCAAGCAACCACTGCTCTATCAGGCTCTGCCCACCACCTCTGGATTCACTATGGCTCACCCTTAAGGGTGAGGACGACAGGGCAGCCAAACCTTCAGGCCTCCCAGCCCCGACATCTTTGACCACCACCTAAAGGCTAGCCTCTCCCTCACCTCTCCCGTTTTTTTATATCCCTTTGCAATTCATTTTCTCAGTCTTTTTTCTCAGCCCTGTGTGTGCGGTCAACCAGCCTCTCCTTCAATCAGCACACCTCCCGTACAGTTTGATGCTTCCCTAGTGACTTTGCGGCTCCTTAGTTCTATATATACAAGCGCTTATACTTTGTGGCATGACGTCTTCGTCC